AGAGCTCTGGCTGAGAGCTGGCCCTGGGATCAGCTGGGGACGGGGACTGTTACTCCACCTGCTGGCAGTCCACAGAGGACTCAGATTTCTATCCCAGCCCCAGAAGTGGGGTGCGTGGTGCCCACTTTTGGAGCGCTGCTCCTACTGCTTCCTCCATGTGTGAGGTGGCTTTGTCACTTCCTTCTCTGAGCCTTGGTTTGCTTGGGACAGCGTGAGGGGGGATTCTCTAAGAGGACACTGGAACTCACAGGGCCCTACACATTCATGCGTGAGCGTCACTGACTTCAGAGGAGCCCAGCTGCCCTGTGGCCTCGCCTGCCTTGGTGGGGCATTGACAGGGCCGGCCTGTGTCCTGCCCTAGAACTTGCTGGAAGGTACTGATCCTGGTTTCCAGGCCTTTAAAGGAGTCCAGGATTCAAGTACCTCTTGAATCCAGAAGCTGGAGGGGACCAGCATCTGGCAGGGCCCAGATAGAAAGTGGGGTCCCAGGAGCAGAACAAAGGCTAGCCCTCTTCCCCCTCTGACCTTCCTGCACTCTCACCTCAACACACTCCTGCCCTCCTTGGGTCCACACCAGGGACGTCCCACCAGGCAGGGGCAGGTTCAAGGCTCAGCTCTGCCACTGTTCAGCTTTTACGCACCTTCCTGTTTTCCTGTCTGTGAAATGGGGTTCGGCGAACCTTTTTGGATGGTTACTGAATGAGGATGCAGGGAGGAGCAGATTCAGGGCAGTCTCCACCACCTTCTGGCTTCTCTCCCCCTTGTGCCCTGGGGTCCCAGTCCTTCATGAGAAGCTAGAAAAGCATTAAGATTCAGGGACAGTGGTGCAAGCCTGCAACCCCAGCCCTGAGTCAGGAGGATCCCCCAAAGTTCAAGGCCAGCTGGGGTACATTGGTGACTTGAAACCTAGCCTGAGCTATATAGCAAGACCCTGTCTCAAGACAAAGTGAAACAAAAACAAGATTGAGGGAAAGACACAGGCAGGGGCATCTTCATGGGCGATGCCCTGATGCTCTAAGGAGGCAGCTCAAGACCAGGCCTGAAGGTGGGGAGCGTCTGGGTGACCCCTCCACGAAGAAGGAGCACGGTGAGAGCAGCCCAAGGGTGAGTGTTGGGCCTTCAAAGAAAATGAGTGGAGGGAGAAGGAAGAAAGAGGTTGGAAGGGGGAGACGGGGGAGGGGCAGGAGGAAGGGGGAGGGGATGCCATGGGGGTGGCTCCCTCCCTCTGGGCCTTGGAGGCTGTGTCAAGAGCTCTCTGATTTCAGGTGTGCTGGGAATCTGCTGTGCCCAGGGTCACAGCTCAGTTCTACGTGTCACAACTCACAGTTCTCCCGACAGCCCTGCTACCCTTCTGCTACAGTTATAGAGCAGGAAACAGGCACCAAGAAGAGACCCTCACTACCCAAGGTCACCCAGCAGGTAAATGGGAGCCTGGATTTGGACCTAGGTGAGGCGATACCAGTCCTTAGCTCCCAACCACTGAGCTCAGCCACCTGGCCACACCGAGAGAAACCAGCCAGTGGGGAGGCGTGGAGGCAGCAGACTCCAGCCACAGCATCTGGCTACCCGGAGAGGGCGGCGAGGTGGGAGCACCTGGCCCCGGGTCTGGACACACCAGCCAGAGTCTCAGGAGGACCAGGACTCTGAGCTCCTCATACCTCCATCGGCCCATGGATAAAGGATCTATTTGGCCAGAAAACCAAAGCCAGGACAGGCAACCAGCTTGAAAGCACATACAGCCCGGCTGTTGGCAGTCTCCATGCTTTGGTGGTGTCAGTGTCACAGGCCCGTCCTCCTGTCTCCTTGGTGAACTCCTCCTTATCTCTCACAGTCCAACTCTCCTAGCCCTGCTCTGCAAGGCTTTCTTGATTCTGCTGAGCTGATCATTGTCCCCTTATGTCCCTACTTTACCTTTTAACTCTTCTACCTTTTAGATCTCTGGGTTTCGAGTCTTTCTTTATGTGGCTGGCTCCTAGGCTGGGCAGAGGCAGGGAGGGTGTGTGAGACAGGCAACATCATTTCCATGCTGGGTGCTGACTGTGTCCTTCCCGGCAGGGGAGGCAGTGAGCCCAGTGCCCAGCACATGCTGTCCTCTCTCCCATGCCTGCTGCAGGGCTCCCATCCCCACCCTCCTGCTGCTGCCCCTCCACACAGCCAGACTTGGGTCGGCTGCCCCTGGTGACGGCTTGCTCCTTTGCTCGTGTGGAGCGCAGCTCACTGCTGCTTGAGTGATTGTCCTGCCAGGCTGTGGAGCTGCAGGTCTTGGTGACCAGACCTCATCCTCCCCACTGCTCCCCACTGCAGGGAGTGGCAGCCTCCTCCTTGTCCCCACAGGTCTGTCTGCGTTTCTTAAACTCCTGTAACCACAGTGGGGTTTGCATGCCCAGCCCGAAGCCCTCTGCTTCCCTCTCCCTCAGCTCTCGCCTGTCTGATTGCTCAGATTGTCATCCTGGACACATCCCCTCTGCCACATTTGACCCCTCAGCGGCATCTCTACACCTGACACTGGCCCCGGGAGAGCTCCTGCCATCCTTCTCCTCCAAGGACCACACAGTGCCAGTGCTGGCTCTCCGAGTTCAGCAGGGCTTCGGGTCACTCCCCTGCTTCACCTTTCGATGGCTCCCATGCTCCCCTGGCCCACACAGCCCTCTGGGAAGTGGCTCTGTGACCTTTCTTCTCCAGGAGGAAAGTCCCTCCTGTCCACCAGCCCTGGTCATGCTGGTCTCCTTCTGCCTTCCCACCTGCCAGGTTCGTTCCCATGCAGTTCTTGCAGTGGCTCTGCCACTCCTGGACCCTTGTGCCCCACACGCTCCATGGAAGGCTCCCCCTTGCGGGTCAGGTCCCTGCTTAAAAGTCTCTGCTCTGGGCTCCCATTTAACTCTCTGAACAGCACCCCTCTCCTGCTGACAGTCTCCCTTCTAGCTACAACATTAACCCACACAATAGGGCCACGACCACCCCAGGCACGAAATCGGGACTTGTTAAAGTCAACAGTCATGGGAATGAATAAAAGAACCAGGTGGGGCTTGGATGCTGCCTTTTTCGGCCACGATGGGAAGGTACAGATGCAGGCACTTTGTGACCCAGCCAGCTTGTATCTGTAGTCTTACCCTGCAGAGATCATTAGCCCACTTCGCACAGTCAAGATGTTCATGGCAGCATTGCTTGTCATCATGAGCAACGGGCAACAACCTAGGTGGCCATTGGGAGGGGGATTTGCTCAAATGAGGTTCAGCAGACTAAGAGGGGAGCATCATGCAGCAACTCCTCAGGAGGGGCTCCGTCTGGTTGTGCCAGTAGATGGCCAGGGAAGGCAGTAGTCTGGTGCCCAGTGCACAATACTCATTTATTGTTAAGAAATCTCTGGCAGGTAGGAGCTCAGGTTGTGTATCTAAACATATGTGCTTCATAGAATAAGGGAAGTGGATGGGAAGGGTGCCAGACTAATCCAACTCTGCTCCCTGACTGGTGAAAAAGGGAGGGAGGAAAACGAAAGGGAGGGAGGTAAGGGAGGAGAAAGGGTCACAAGGCTGCCAGCAGGCACAGCTGGGATGGGACCCAGTCTTCCGCCCAAGGAGAGCTACTACCTGCTCTCAGCCAACGGACCTGGGGTGCATGGCCAGCTGAGGGAGGGTGTGCCTTCAGCCTCACTGCGAGACGCTTAATTTTTTTCTTAGGAAGCCTCACCTTTCTCATCTGTAAAATGGATCTTTGTCCTCCCCACCTCCCTTGGCAGGCTGTGGAGATGAGCCAGGCTTGTATGAGGAGGAGCTTTATCCTTTACGGGTGCTTCAGACACACCCAGCCCTGCCCTCAGGCTTTGAGGCTCGCTGTCCCTTTCAATTCTCATAAAAACCCTAAGAGGTGAGGGCTGTGAGCAGCCCTGTCCACCCACGAGGCTCACAAGAGTGGACTACCTCACCCAAGTCACAGGCAGTCAGTGTCAGGGCCTGGGGCTAAAACCAGGAGCTCCACTTCAGCCCCATCCTCCTAACTGCGGCAGTATAGAAAGGCTCCATGTGCCTGTGTGCAAAGGCCTCTCAGATGCCCCAGCACCCTCAGGCCCTGGAGTGGGCTGGGGGAAGCACTGGGCCTGAACATACCCATGGGCTGCTGGTCCAAGGCCCAGTTCCCCACGCCCAGGCCTTCCTCGCCCTCCACGCAGCCTGTCCCACGTACCCACTGATTAGGAGAGCCAGGGAGGCTGCGCCTGCAGCTGGCCTCCCTGTAATTAAGGCAGCGGGAGGCTGGGAGCTGGGGTCCCTGTCATCTGAGGTGGGGAGGCGGGGACAGGAGGAGCCTCTCCATGGCCCAGCCAACCACATCAGCAGCCTCTGGCTCTCTGGAAGCAGCTGGGCAGCAGTAGGAAGCAGGGAGGGACCCAGTGTGGCCTCCCCTCCCTGCCACCCTGACCTGGACCCCCCTCCTGTCTCCCTGTCTCCCATTTCCCTTCTTTTGATGTCCCCTCTGCCTCCACATTAGGGCTGTGTCTTCCAAAAACAGGCCACTGGGACTTGTTCCAACTATACTGTGGAGACAGAGTGGTTCTCTTGCGGGGGTAGAGGTAAGGAAGTTGGCAGAGGCTTACTTGTGAGAACAGCTGAGTGTCCCCGGGAGGACGGTCACTCACCTTCTGGACTAGCCTGCGGCCCAGCCCCTTCCTGCCCTGGCCCCACTGGTATCAACTCTGACATTCTCCAGCCATGGAGAGTTACCTTTGTGCCTTTGCTCCTACCATCCCCTCAGCCTGGGGGCCCTCCCTGCTCAGCCCACCCATCCTGCTCTTTTTTTTTGGTACCGGGGATCGAACTCAGGACCTTGAGCTTGCAAAGCAGGCGGCTAAATCCCCGGCCCAACCTGCTCTTCTGTCTGTCCCAAGTCAGGCACCTCCTCACCCAGGGGGGATCATCCCTGATTAGGATCCAGTGAAGCTTTCCCTCCACCTCACCGTGTGTCAGCCAGCTTGCTGGTGCTATGACAAAATACCTGAGGAAATCAACTTAAAGTAGAAAACATTTATTTTGGCTCATGGTTTCAGAGGTTTCAGTCCATGGTCAGCTGATTCCACGACTTTTAGGCCTGAGATGAGAGAGAAACATAATGGCATGGTGGAGGGAAGCTGTTTCTATCATGGCAGCTAGGAAAAGAGAGAGGGGGGGAGAGAGAGAGAGAGAGAGAGAGAGGAAAAGGTATAGTCCCCAAATTCATAGCCCTATGACCCATGCCCTTTGACTAGGTCCTACCTCCTGTTTCTATCACCTCCCAATAATGCCATTGATTATGAGTCTATCAACAGATGAACCCACTGGTAATGCTAGCACTCTCGTGACCCAGTCACCTTCCAAAAGCCCCAGCTGTGAACACATGAGCCTTTTGGGGGACATTTTAGACCCGAACCATAGCAGCCCGCAAGCCCATTAACGGGCCCATTTTCTGACTGGGCTTGTGGTACAGCAAGATGTAGAATGAATCACTACATCTTCCTCCTCCTCTCACCCCTGTACTGAGGTTGTAACCCGCAGGGTCCAGGCCTGCTTTGTGGTCACTCACGGTGGTGACCCTGGGCAAGTCACATCACCTTGTGCTCTGCCCTGCTCTGTGAAATGGGACGATTGCAAGGCCCACATGAGACCGTGGGTGAACACTCCAAACAATGCCACCTCTGGTGATACTTAGCAAATAGTGCCCAAGCCACGGCCTCCTCAGGCCAGCCCTGGCCCATCAGCCACCTTCTTCTACACAATGACCAGGGAGGCCTTTCCAAGGGTGACTGGGATGAGGTCACTCCCGGGATCAGCCTCAGGGTAGGCCTGGGACCGCCCCCATAGGCCCTGCCCGACCTGCTCCTGCCTCCCTCCCTAGCCCCATCTCTCCCCAGCCCCTCAACCTCTCTGCTCCAACCAGCTGGAACTTTCCTGAAGTTCCTGTGTACTCTTAAAGCTACCGCACAGGCAATCACTCCTCCTTCTTTACCTGGCTATCTCATACACATCCTTTAGGCCCCAGCTTAGGTGCCCATTCCTTCAGGAATCCTTCCCTGACCACCTCTCCCATGCAGGTGAGGCCCTTTCTCTGTACTCCTGCAGCACGTGACCTCCCACACCGTGTTGCCATGACCTATTTACCTGCGAGTTGTTTACCTCTGCAGAGGGCAAGACACTGCGCCTTGCTCCCTGCTGCAGACCTAGCAGCAGGCACAGTGTCTGGCGAGGACTAGATGCTCAAAAAAATATTTAGTGACTAACTGAATGGATGGATGAGTCAATTTGTGCATCCCCCACACTGCAGGAAATGTCTGAGAACAGATTTGTGTGGGAGGTTCCGGCAGGGCCAGGGAGAAGCCCCTGGGATTAGGGTGCCGGGTGGCGAGCAGAGCAGACCCCTGTCCCCTCCCACAAGTGGGTCAGCCTCCCCGCTTCCCACAGGTCCCTGGGGCCCTGGAACCGGCTTCCAGATGCTAAGCCCTGTCTCTGCCTCACCTCTTAGCTTTTCCATCTGCACAGCCCGGCCAGATCCCTGCAGCCAGCATCGCGGGCAGCCAGGCCAAGCATCCCCGGCGTCTTCCTATTTTAGACATCTCGCCGCCTCGGTCCCTTCTAATGTTCCCAGCCAGGCTGTGGGGGGAGGAAAAAGAGGTTACTGCTACTTTAAATGTACTGTATGAAGGCGAGGGCTGGAAAGGGGCCTGCTTGCAGGAATACCCTGTCATCTAGTTGGAAAAGCCGCCAGATGGAATACAAAAGGAGAAACCCAGACGCTCATGGAGACAGCCTCGGTTCATAAATTAGGTGGGGCCAGGGGCTGGGGGCCCACACGCCATGGAGCCCGACTCCCTCCTGGACCAAGACGACTCCTACGGTAGGGGACCGCGCCGGCTAAGTGACAGAGTTGGGGATTTCAGCCCCGCTGCTCAGGCAGACTTTTTTCTGCTTCAGGAATTTGAGAGAAGTGGGGGAGGAGGGCAGGCAGCGGGGCACTGTCTGGTCTCAGGACTCGGCGGGCATGGGTGCCCTGGGTTATGGGCCACAGGGCTGCAGGGTTCCCCTCAGACTCAGATTGGCAGGGTCAGGGGAAGGGAGAGAGTTTCTGGGCTGCTTGTGTTTCGCTCTTGGCTAAAAAGGAAAAGAGGGAAGTTTGCAGCCCGCTGCGTGTCTGCCTCACTGGCTGTGCCCCAGGCCTGCCTGCTGCTGTGGTAGATTCAATTAGTGAGATCCTGCAGATAAATCGAGATGGAACAGGCAACAGGATTGGTCCTGGTAATTAAAGGCCAGGGCTCAAATTGAATGCACTACCCAGTATACAGGGTCTCCAAGGCTGCTGCTGCGTGAGTGGCCCCTGCCCAGCCTCCCTGGACACCGGGAGTCCTGGGCAGCATGTTTGGGAAAAGTTGCTGGGGACAGAGAGCCCAGGCAGAGTCTGGCTCAGGGATCTGCAAGCCTCAGAAGGGTTCCTCCATGCCAGGCTCGGCAAGCTTGGGTCCCCAGGGATGCAGGTAGCCAAGCTTCCTGGGTTGCTGCCCATCCTGCCAAGCTGCCTGGCACACAGCGGCTGTCTCTGGGCAACAGAGGGCAGCAGGAGGGCAGGAGTGAGGTTGAGCACGGGGGCAGCAGGTTTCAGGGCTCTGTTGGGAGAGAGTCCTGTTAGCTTCTCTAGGTGAGGGGTGGAGGGGTGGCCTCACCCCAGCTTGGGTCGGCCTTTTAGGGGCTCAGGTCCTCCAGGGTCCAGAATCTGCACTAAGAAAACAGAGTTCTCCCTCTGGACTTCCTCATTCCTGCCAGGCCTGTCTGCCTGGCGCAGAGTCAAGGCCAAATTCCCCTCCTCCTGCGGCAGCCCAGCTCCTTCCAGGGAGAGGCCTTTGCCACGTTCGGAGCTGCGGCCCCTACCCGACTTGGGCCAGGCCCAGCTGTGGACATGGCTCTTCCGGGCAGTCAGGTGGCCCGTCGCTGCTCTGTGTGACCCCCAGGTGCTGAGCTGTGGGCGGGGTCAGGGGTGCAGGAAGGAGAGAAGCTAAGTCCTAGGAAACAGTGGTGCCTGGTGTCTGAAAGGAAGGAAAGAGAGAGGCCCTTGGCTGGAAAACCTCCCAGCCTGGAACACGAGAGGGGCAAGCGATCCAAGTCCCTGGGGGCCTGGGGGCCTGGGGGAGGCAAGCCTGCCTGTCCCCCTGACTCTCCCCACCGGGCATGCCTCGTGCAGACCCTTGTCAGGGGACAGAGGGAGAACAGACCCCTTCTCTCTCCATGTCCCTGCCCAGGGGTGTCTCAGGAGCCCATGCTCCCCTTGGGGTTTGGTAGCACAGCCTCCGGGCAGGGTGAGACTGGAAACTGAGGTGCTGCAGCCTCCACCCCAGCGGAAGGCCCCTGTGCACAATCAGCCCTTGTCTCCTGGCCTGCCATGGGAGCTGCTGCTGACCTCCTGGACGCTGCCAGGCAGTGAGGAAGAAGCTGAGAGGCACGGAGGCTAAAGGAGCCGGACAGGCAGGAAAGGGTGGAGCCAGGCCCTTGCTGGGAGTGTCCCAGGCCCAGCTGGGGAGGGGTCTCCCCCTGGCTCGCAGGTGGCAGGCTTTGGCCTAAATTTCCAGGAGACCTTTCCTGTGATTGCATGTGAGCAGAGAAAGGGGGTGCTCTGGGTCTTCCCCCCCTATCGGCTGACCTTATTGCCTCCTCAGAGCCTCCATCTCCAGACACAGACACACTGGGGCTTAGGGTTGTGCCATATGAATTGGGGAGGGCACAAAAATCCTCCACATGCCTCTCCTTCTTGGAACACTTTCTTCACCTGGCTTCTGGAAAACCTGATTTCTTCTTCGGTCCCTTTCTCTGGCCATTTCTCTGCCTTTCTCTGCTTCCCACGTGAACTGGTCATCCAGGTCTGTCTCTTCTGCCTCTCTAAACTATTTGACTTCTCCCTCTCTACATTCCATCCATACTGACCTGGCCTTCCTCATATTTCCAAACTATTTCTCACCCCAGGACCTTTGCACATGCTGTTTCCACTGCCTGGAGCTAAATCCTCTTCTTCATCCCTTTATCATTCAAAAAGTCACCAGCTCAGAGGACAGTTCTGTAGGCCAAGTTCTTCCAGCCTGGCAAATCAGACCCCACCCTCGCCTTCTGTTGTGCTTTCTAGGACCCATTCTTGTTCACACTATACATGATTAATATGCTTACCCTGTGTAACCCCCACTAATCTCTAGGCTCTCAGTCTCCCCACACCATCACTCTGCATGGTGTATAGCAGCCTCTAACACATGCTTGTTGAACAAGTGAGGGGGTGAAGGAATGCGGGCTGAGAGGTGAGGAAAGGCGTTCCGGGGGGAGGCATGGCCAGCGCAAAGGCAGAGGGGCTGGAGAGTCTTTGGAGCACTCTCTGATGCTCATACCTAGAAGCTAAGCAACTTGGGGGAGTCAGGGGCCTTGCTGGGGACAAAGCTGGATGTGGCAGGGCTACGGGGGCTCTGGACCCTCCTGCTTTTACCCTGAACTTTGAGTCCATGTGCCAGGGCCTGAGGGGCTGAATGGGCTTGGCCCTGGAGAGGTGGGAAACCCGCACCATGGGCCCCATACGCAGACAGCACCACACAGAGCCCCATCAGGTGGCCCACAGGTGAGAGCCCCTTCCTTTAAGGCCAAGGAAGGCTCCGAGCACAGCTAGAAGGAAGACAGACACAGGCGTTGGAGTTTCTTTATGTCTGATCAGAAGCTGGAGGCCAGGAGGCCACGCACCAGCCCCAGCAGAGCCTTTGAACACAGGCCTCAGTTTGTCCATCTGTAAATGGGAGTGAAGATTGGACAAGATCTGCCCACCAGAAAAACATTCTACCTTTCTGACTCTTGACTGCCTAGGAAGAGGGAGCCTGGGCCTGACAGTGGGCCAGAGCCGAGGAGAAGACCTTGTCCTGCAGAACCTTCTCTCCCTGGGGTCTTTGGATCCTGTCCTCTCTCCCCTGTGCTGACGGTGCTTCCAGTCCTAACCTCACTAACAGCTCTCAGCACCTCCCGCCGCCTGCTCCCCAGCCTGACTCCTGGGTGAGACCTCAAGATGCTTGCGGGCAGGGCGCCACCTTGTTGCCACTGTATTCCCAGGGCCTCGCTGTGCCAGGTCTGAGGATGTGCCCGATATGGGTGAACGGATGATGAGTGAATGAATGAGTAGCAACAACTGGGTCCCACCCTTGACTTGCTCCGCATCCTCAGGCCCGAGCCACCTCTCTGGGCTTCTGTTTCCAAAGCTGTCCCTCGAGGGAGCCCCAAGTGTCCTGGTTCTGACCACCCAAGATTCTAATCCGACTGGGCCCTGAGCGCCCCCTTCTCTCCTGTGGCCTGAGCCTTGCGCAGCTGCCTGTGTCCATGGGTGGCCTGGAGTAGGTCCCTGCTGCTTTCTCGGGCTCAACTTGGTCATCTGATAAAGGGCCAGATCCAGGCCTGCCCTGTGGGCCACCACCCGATGTCTCGGGGCCCAAAGGAGAGGTGAATGCTGGTAAAGCTGGACACCCGCTGGAGTGAAGGAGCTGGGCCCAGCAGGCGCTGGCAGAGATGGCTCTGGAAGGGGCCTGTTGCTTTGGAAACCCTGGGGATGGAACTTTTAGTTTCTTCCTGACAATCTCAGCAAGGATATCTGCTCGGGGTTACAGGGAGGCCCACAGGGAGGCAGATGGATGTGATTCTGTAAAACCCCAAGCACTGCAGGTATGTACAATGACCACTTCCATTTATTGAGCCCCTGCTGCGTGTCAGGCTCCGTGAACAATTCGTTTTGTGCGTGATCTACTTGACTCCTCACAAGCCACCTTGTGTAGCCCATTTTCCTGATGAGGAAACTGAGGCTCAGGAGAGTTCAGGGATGGGCCCAGAGCACATAGTGCCGCTCTGGCTGCCAAGCCTGCGGTCTTTATGTGGCTGCCCTCTGAGTGCCGTGGTTGTGCCCAGCTGCCTGCTGGGGGCCCCTCCTAGGTAAAACCCTACCTGCTGGGCAGCATTTGCTGAAGCTGGAGCATTCAGGTAACAAGCTCAACCACGTGGCAGGAGCCCTGTCAGCCCCGCTAGGGACAGCGAGTGGCGGGAGCAGCTGTGATGGGATGGGGTTGGTCTAAAGACAGGGCTGTTTGGGGCTGGAAGCTGTGGAGGGCTGGATATCCTAATGCTCTGGACCCTCCCTTGAGAGGGTGAGGCCGTAGAGGCCATCTTGGACATCGGCCTTAGCTGGTACGGTACTGAGGCCAATCTTAGATGCCACGGCGCTGTGCCTAGCCGCGTGCCTCATACTCATCATCTCCTTCCCCTTCTCACACTAGAGATGAGGCTCAGGAGCTCAGAGAGGCTGTGTGACTCGCCCAAAGGCACACAGCTAGAGAATGGTCAAGCCAGGAGTCACTTGTTTGGCCCACTGAGGAAGGAGCCTCTGCTCTGAACCAGAGTCTGCTAGGACCCTCTCTGGGGCTGCATCTGTGAAATAGGACTTCGGAGGCACTGCCCGGGCCTGCTCTGCCCCTCAGGCCTCCTCCAGGGCTCTTGTTAAGCCTCAGTTTCCCCGTCCATGGTGAGGTGATACCAGCCTGGCCAGCCTGGGTTGCCGCAGGGATGCCAGAATCAGGTTCCTTCCACCTGGTCTAGGGCCCTGTCCCACCCAGGACTAGAGCAGCAGAGCCCCATTCACTGAGCACTTCCTGCATGCTGGGCTCATGTGAAATGAATGGAGCCGGACTCCTTGCAGGAAGGAAGAGCCCCTCTGCACAGATAGACCATCAAGGCTCAAACCCCCAAGCCACCCCACTAGTGAGGGCACTTGTGCCTCAAACCTGGGACCCCCCCCAGAGGCCTGCTCTCTTTCACCTCTCTGAGATGCCCCCCAACCCTGGATCTCCCGGCCCCCAATTCCAGGCCCTTTCCCATGCCCAGGGAGCCTCTGTCCTGTGGGCCAGCCATGCCTGCACCCCTGGGCTCCCCAGGAGGCAGGTGGGTGAGGGGTTGTACTCCCTGCTGACTGGGGAAGAGGGAAACCAGGAAGCACAGTCAGGAAAGAGGAGCAGCAAGGCTGCACTGTGGGTGGGGGGCTTGAATCATTCCTGCCCAGCTGCTGCACAAGAAGGCCAGGGACTGCAGCTTGGGTGGGAGTGGCAGGGATGGGGCCTGTGCCTGGGGAGCTAGGAAATGCTCAGGGGAGAG